TTAGGTAGTAATAATCCCCCGTGGTTTTTCTTTATGCCTCGGTTCTTTTCCATGGGATGTAGTTTGAACCGGGTAATTTTTTTTCTTTTGGAGTAGATTAGAAATTTAGGGAATAAAAGGAGGAAGAATGATGAACTTAGGCGCCCTTGACTTGTTTGATAGTAGCATATTTAGGTTTTGGCATGTGTAGTATCTTCCCTATGATTTGAAATTGCTTAGTTAGATAGCATGTCTTGTGACACCTATGTCTCATTTTCTTGACTTGTGTTCACTTTAATTTGCGCTTAATACTTAATATCTCGTGGCTCCGTGAATACTTGCATTGTTTGAGAGTGGGAACGGGACCGTCCTTACTGAGTCATGTGCCATGTGTGGTGAGGTTTTTGTGTAGTCCATGTATTGTACTTGTGTCTAGAACTTGCCCGGTATGTGAGTTGAAGCGAAATTTGAGGTGGTACTTGGTTTGAAAAATGATTTTAGGCTGTCTTTGATCTTTTTGAGCTTATTGCTTATCATAAATAAAAAATTATCCCTAGTTAACCCCTTTGAGCCTATAGATTTTATTTGGCACCCACATTACAAGCCTATACCTTTTTTGTTCTTAATTGACATTGTTTTGATCCTTTTACCTCTTAAAGCACTTTAATTGTAAAATGTGCGCTAAAAGAACTAAGAAGGGACTAAGTGTGGGGTGTCTTTTGAGCGGAACCAATGAAAGAAAGAAGGGTATACTTATTTTGTAAAATAATACACCACTAGCGGGAATTGAAAAAGAAAAAAGAAAAAGAAAAATCTGAAGGAAAAAAAGAGAAGGAAAAATATAGGTGAATAAGTTGTTGTCTTGTTCTTGCTAGTGGGGTATAAATTAAAGTAGTGCTTGAAAAAAGAGGGAACCATTTTATATTTATTCTATCTAAGAAAATATTGTTCGTCGATTCAAGTGGTACGTAATAAATTGGATTTAGAACGCTATAGACAATTAGGTTCCTATTGTGTTGGTGTTTAAAGGGAGAACTATGAGGAGCCAACCCTAGTACAAAAGGATTGGGTTGGGCTAACTTATGGTGTACCAATTATTAAATTGTTGCGCCAAAAGAAATCCTACTCTATATAAGTTTTCGGACGAGGTTTTTGAACAGAACTTCAACGCGCGAGAAGTTGTTTAAGATTGACCTGAACATTTGATTTCCAAACAAAAGAAGAACATTACAAAAGGAAGACCAATCTGTATAGAGTAATTATAACCACTCCTTTGTGTTTGGTACTTCCTTGCTTCTATCTAACAATTGGACAACGACGCAGCGTATATGTTTGCTTTTCAAAGTGGAGCTTCTCGCACTTCTGGTGCCCAAATAGGGGAATAAAGTTAATCATGT